CCGCGGCCAGCTCAAGATTGCCGACTTTGGCATGGCTCGCTACGTCGGCGATCCTCCCCCCAAACTGACTCAACTCGTCGTGACATTGTGGTACCGCGCCCCGGAATTGCTCCTGGGGACAAGAACGTACGACGCAGCAGTCGACATGTGGAGCGTGGGCTGTATATTCGGCGAGCTCATCACGCGCGAGCCCTTGCTCCAGGGCTCCAACGAAGTGGACCAAATGTCCAAGATTTTCGAACTGTGCGGCGTGCCAACCGAGGAATCGTGGCCCGGGTTTCGCAAGCTCCCCAACGCGCGGAGCTTGAAGCTTCCCAAGAACGCGCTGTCCAACGGGTCCGTGGTACGCGCGCGATTTCCCAGCATGACCACCGCCGGGGCGAGCCTCTTGAACGACTTGTTGGCTCTGGATCCGGTCCGGCGGCCGTCGGCAAAGGAGATGCTCAGCCACGAATACTTCCGACAGGATCCCAAACCGAAGCCCGAGAGCATGTTCCCGACATTCCCCAGCAAAGCAGGCCAGGAGCGGAGACGTCGGCATGAGCCAAATGCGCCCGTCAGAGGGCAAGCAGTCGCTTTAGGAGATGTTGACCTGAGCGGCATCTTCCAGGGGCGGGACAAGGAGGAGCGTGGAGCTGGCTTCACACTGCGAATGGTGTAAGGAATTTGAAAGTCGTATTGAAGACGTCTTGGCCAGTAATAGTTGAGTTGGGGCTATTGCTTTTGGTCTACTACATCCCTCCATAATACTTCAGACAAAACACGAAAGTTTTAATTCTATTGATGCTGGCATTTCGAAACGCAAAGACGTCATGTTGAAATATGAATTAGGATTTCATCACGGAGACGCAAGCATTGTCCCATGGGCAGCTAAGATATAAAGAATTAATTAATGCATCTAGCTTCATTAGAAGATGTATACTAGGTCCAACTCCCCCAGCCATAAATCAGTACACCATTAACCAAAAACCCAATTTGCAAAATGACTCGCCCTGTGTTTACTTCCTCCAAAGTATATGCTGCAAAGACTTCAAATGCCCGGCCAAGACAGTACCCAAAACGAGAATATGTAGGTATAAAAAACAATAAAATCAGGCTTCAGCTTAAATTTTCATCCATTTCTTTCAATCAACGCCCGGCATCAAGCAAGCTTGCGACAGTTACAAACGAGACAACTTCCGTCTTTGAGTCTCGACCAATAAAGTCGGTCAAGCACGTCGTAAGTGGCATGTCTAGAAGGATCTTGCCTTGTGCAAGATCCGGCAGGATTCTCTCAATGCAATCCTAAACCAGCGACAAACCAAGTAAAGCTCAGGAACGTAACAATGCTCGTGGCAATAGCCAGACCGACAGCTTGGCGGTCAAAGGCCGATGCAGCGGCACTGCAAGTTCCCGGGCATGTCCAATCAGGATAGGCCGTGTATGGCTGGCCAGTGTACATGCCGAATGAATAGCTAGCATATGCACCGAGATAACCGGGTTCGGGAGCCTGGGTAATGCTGGCGTCGGAATCCTTGACAATTAAGGTGTATTGCTGAACACCCAGTGGGCTCTGGATGTCGTTGGCTTGCTGTTTTGTGTCCCACACGTAGTTGACTGCGGTTTGGAATGACATATTGCCAGTCAGAGTCCAGGTCTCGCTTGCTGCGGAGCAGCTGACAAGGACATCAATGGCAGTCGGAGTTCCTAGCAGCGAGGTGTAGTTCCAGGACCAGGTAACATAGTCACTAATCTTGTATAGCCCACTAGGCTGCAGACCAGTATTAGGTGTCTGCATGCTGACACCTGCTGGGGGGGCATCCGGGGGAAACTGAGTGCGAGTCGCGCTTGCCTTCTTGGTTGCAGTGGCAGCAGTGCCAGACTTTCCATTTCCAGTCTTCGTCGCCTTTGCGGTATTCGAGTCGCCAGTTGTTTTGCCGCCGGCTTGGGAACTCGCGTCTGTTGCAGACGCTGATACTTCCGGCACGACTGTTTGAGAAGGATTTTTTTCAGCGGCCACTGACGTCTAGGGTTAGTAAAATAAAACAATGACGGCGAAAGCAGCATGAATGAGTGATAGTGTGGTTGATTAATGGACAGGGCTGCACCACATATGGAGAACATACCAGAAGCTTGGCCAGAGTCGCTACTGCTATCGGCTCGTACGATGAGGGCATCTCGCTCGGGCAGCCATCGTGGCCATTCTAATGCCGAGGCAACAGAGCCACAGGTAGAAAGGCACAGGGCCAGTTGCACCAAGGACTGAGCAGGACGCATGACGAGTATGTTTTGCTGGGGATTGACAGAAGTGAAACGAAGCTGCAACGGGCCCGGACGCCAATAACGTCAAGCAATCACGGCTGGCAAAAGATGGTCGACGCAAGAATATGGCGACTCCAATAATTGACCACGAACAAGACTGGATAAGAAATCTTTTTCTTTCGTTGACAACTAAGGCGGTTCAAACGGTCGGGGCGATGGTGGCAACGGGCGAGGTGACTGGCTGAACGGTGGTCGACGCGGAGCAAATTTCGGGGGAGGAACGAGTGGGAGGCAGACGAAGCGAGTGTCGAGAACGAAGTCAATCGGAAATCAAGTGCAGCAAAAAGCGAGAGGCGAAAAAAAAAGTGACGAGGCAAGAGTCGTCGTCTATTTTTTGTCCTCGGATCGGGTTGACCAGGGGAGGGTTGAGCAAAAGAGAGTAGAGGAGGACAGGGAGGTGAGTGGGAACCAACGAGGGTGCGTGTGAGTACAATGTATTACGGAGAAAATGTGAGAGGAAGCCCGATCTCTGGAGGGGCCACGACCAACTGGCAAATGCACCGGACGTGTGGCCAACCAGTCAGCCCCTGACGGCTCTAGCTGTGGTCTGGTGCTGTGCAACAACAAGTGTTCAGTGTTGACACTGTTGACTCCCGAGCCGTACAGTTGACCGGGCCACTGAGTGAGCCGCCAACAGCCACTGGACGGACTGGGCCTACTTGACGAATGCATCCACCACGGCACGAGCCAGGCGGTGCCTCCTGTGCACTTGGCCCAAACAGGCGTAGCTTCATCGTACTTAATTAGAAATTGCCCCACAATCATACATTTGGTATTTACGATGGCTTGAAGCACTGCAGAACTCCGCATGGGGACCGGGCTGCTTTTCTGTTTTTTTGAGTTTTTTTTGTTTCCGGGCCAGGACAGGCACAGCTTTGGCTAGTAATGATGACCCCAACTGCGTACCAAGTAAAAAAGCCAGCGGAGGGCCGTAAGTGACTGAGCAGGGAACTCGCTAGCCTGCACTGTCCATGATGCATTTTCCCCTCGGCCACCTCGCGCACATGCTTGGCTTGCGCCGCCCGCCCGCAGCAAAAATAACAACAAACCAGACCTATTTAGAACGGTTTGAAGGGGCGTGGTGGGTGGCCACAGACGCCAATACGGTGCACGTGACCTCGTGTTTTCAACTCGACCCTCTTTTGCGTCTCATGCCTGCCAGGCCACAGGCAAATCCTTGCACCTAGTCTGCCGGCCCAGTAGCTGCGATTATGCTGCTGTTATCGGATCCCATTCGGCATCAGGCGTTCGCTGTGTCCCATCATCCAGTATACGTGCTACAATACTACAAGATAACGTGCGAGCCACGGCGGGAATAGTCAACGGGTTGCCAACATGTCCACTTGCAACTGTCCTCGCATGTCGGGTGATGGGATTGTGGCCACGTTGCTGCCCGGTGGGACGACTGGCACCCCAAAGTTGCTGCTCCTTCTGGCCTTGATCCATCTCTGGAAGATTATTTGCCAAGTTTAATGTCCCGGGCCTGGCACCTCACGCCCGCCCTTGGACTTACATCATTGCATTAGACCTGACTCTTTCACACCGTGGGCTCGATGTCCTTAAGCAAACCGTCCTCTGGCCTTCATGTAGGCTCGAAGGACTCCGTAGCCTCTGGCGGTTTCAGCTTCCCATGCCAGCCTTATTTGGCTCTGTGCATACTCCGTACATTCGTCAAATGTAATAGGGATTTCTCCATGCCATGCATAGCTTGTTCAACTTGATGCCAATGTGGCTATTGTCGAGCGATGATGCTCGCAGCTTGTCAAGCCTCGACTGAACTCATGTCTTGATCGAACACAAGAGGACCAATCGGCACTTGCAAGGCTACGTCTTCTTATATACTTCTAAGTAAGTAAGCGAATGGTGGTGCCCGAGAGTCCATTTCTAAAGCACGTCTGCTTGGCTCTCGAAGCCCGACTCACACGGCTATGTCTGTCTACTTGCTCAAGACATAAAGCATTGACATCAACCACGGCGCCCGACTGCTTGCGGCTCCATGGGTTGATGCACTGTTGCGCAGGTGCACAAGTATTTACATTTACGGAGCACTGAGGTATCAGGGACTTGAACAGGCTGGACAGACCCGATGTCAAGGTTCGTCTCATGTACTCTGTACAAATGAAGTAATCAGCTCAGCTTGATGTGGCCGAGCGCCCTTGTATAATGAATAGTCCAGTGCTTTCCTTTCCTTTTCTTTGCTTCTCCTTCTTTTTCCTTTTTTTTTTCTTCTCTCTCTCTTTTCTCTCTTTTTTTCTAATGAACCGTTCATGCCATTATGGTCAACACCACCTAAGAAACTTGGAGGCCGGTTTTGCTTGTCTGGGCCGGTCTTCTTGCATATGCACGTGAGCGTCAACAGCTGTCAGTTGCCTTGTTCGTTTGTAAAAGCATCTGGCAACTGCAGCCTAACTTTATCCTTTCATCTTCTTTCGCCTGCTCTCTGCGTTTCATCCGCGCTTTGCTTTTCTTTCTGTCCTGAAGCTGCCATTAAGCAGTCATCAGGTGATATACTTCCAGATGTCAGCAGTACGTAGCTCCTCGGCAGCAGCTCTTCAACGCATTTTCAACTGCTAAACTCTCCTCGATGCTTCATCGTAAGTAGAGAATGTCTCTGCCGGCGGCAGACCCCGACTTCAGGCTTCCAGTCCTTCAAATTACTCGACATGAATATGCGAGTCTTGTTAGGTCTGCCCAACAGTATGGTGAGGAATTCTTTCAAAGCTTTGCGCCGTCCCCTCTTGGTTTTGACTTTTGGCTGTGCTCATAAAGACACTTTATGCCGCAATCTTATCAATGGTGGAGTGCAAAGAGAAACAATTGAGGTATGCAAAATGTCTCTTCTCTATTTGTGTACCAACGTGCTGTATTGTTGACATAATGTTCATCGCTCACAAAAGCCCAGCTTCTCAGCACGCAAAGTTCTTCTAATACCTCCGAACCCCATACTATCAACCATGGATCCCAAGTCTCTACAAATGGTCCTGGCGGCTCGGATCTAGCTCACGAACGATCATCCCGGGGTAGTCATGCGAGACCATATGCTTTCTTACCGTACACGAACTCGTATTCAAACCTGTCTACTGGCAACGGAACCAAAATCAACGGCTCTGAATCAGCCAGCAACTCTTCTACCGATTCAGAAAACGACAGCATGGACGGCGACGATGCTGGAGCCCTGCTAGCACACACCACCTCGAAGCCCATTGTGGAACCAACAGCTACCCGAACAGTTCAGCTTCTGAACCTTGCAGAAGGCACTACTATTGCAGATGTCACGTCTATCGTGAGGGGAGGGCTTATTGTCAACATATATTTTCGAGCCAGGGATAACATGGTTGCCCTGTCCTTTCTCCACTCAAGCGATGCTCACGCCTTCTATCAGTATGTCCAGGCCAACGGACTGTACATTAAGAATACAAAGGTTGTCCCTTTTGGCAAGTAAGGTCTACCATATGCTAACTCATGCGGAGTATAGGTCGATATTAGATGGGACGACCGCCAATTCATTGTAGCCGGTCACGTTGCACACAAAATTGCTCTAGGGGCATGCCGCAATCTTGTCATCCGGTACTGCAACCCTAATCTCACCGAACAGGAAATACGCAACGACCTAGAGCACATACATAACCTTGTGGTTGTACAGATTCAATTTATGGGAGGGCATTGTTTTATCAGCACCAACTCAGTTGCTGCTGCCATGTTCGCTCGCACTTGCATGATGAGTCGGCTGTAAGTTTATTCCCCTCTCCCCACTAGGTAATTTGAGGTCTAGTAGACCTTTTCTGTTCTCAAATACAATTATATTTATACCGATTCCCAGAAAATACAAAGGCACCTCCCGCATCGAATGGGGCGTTGACGAATGTGCCCAGCCGCTGCACAAAATGCCAGTACGTTCACAGAAGCCCGTAATTCAAGCACCAGCAGTCAAAGGCACAAACATCTCAGCTTCGAATCGCTTTCAGCTGCTTTCTTTTGATGATGAATAAAATTTTCAAGGCGGGTATCCCAGACGAAACTAGCGGTTTTATCAAACAGCGGGGGGCTTAATGGAGAAGGTGTTCAGCTTGGTCGGTTTTGATGGAGAGACGAGATAGAAAAGGGCGCCTGAGATTGTAACGGAAAATTGACGAATTAATGAGCTACACACATCGGGTTGAGAATGTCTGGGCGAAGGAGATAAGGTTATTTCACGACAATATGGTGTACAAGGAGATAGCCAAATCTGCCGACGTTATATTGCGACTTAAACACTGTACAAGGGTTTTTGGTGCTAAATGTTCAATCCCCCAATGATTATACTTCGCTGCTCATGGTATTATGCCAAGCCTAGATTGCTCCCCAACAAAAACGGTTCCATCCCATGCAGTGATGTAAGTAAGACGCAATCAAGGTGCTTGATACAACGAACGCTCGCAAAATTATCGACGTCCGGCATTATTGGTAACAGACTGCAAATAGTCCAACAAGAAGGTTTGTTCAGCAGGTGAGATGGGCGTCTCCCCGCCTCTAGAGGCCATTGATGAGACTCTCGACGATGGAGGGTCGGCGCCTTGTCTAGAATCCGTTCCAGAAGCTGGTGCTGTGTCTCCTGGAATTTGTTGCTTTCCAAATAAAGATAACAGCTGTTGCTTTTGTTCGCGAGTATCATCAGGGCGGCGGGTGTGATCCCCAGTATTGGCTATCAAGGAAGACTCAGGGGCAGCCGCAGGAAAGCGATGTGCACCATTCTGCGCGCCAAATGGGGAGGTTTTTGGAGACAATTCGTGTTGACGGGCCGTGGAAGAGATATCGTCGAGACGCTGCCCCCGTTGAAGGATGCGGGGTGGCTGAGGCAGTTGTCCGTGACCAGAGACAAGTGGCGATCGAGCAGGTTGTTGCGGCTGCGGCTGCGGTTGGGGTGGCTGAGAAGATTGGTACTTGTGATGATGGGCGCTTCGGCTCTCTCTCACACGAGGCGAGGGCAAAGCTGGTTGACTTGACTTGGACTGAAGAGTCGGCTGCTCAAGAGAGAGGTGCTCGTTAGGTGGGCCACGATTGGCCTGAAATTGCCGGAGGAGCATATGTTCGCCCTGTCCTGGCTGTCCTGTGGATTGTTTGGTGATTTCATGTCGATTTTCCTGCGTAGCTCCAACCTGGGATTGGTTTGCTGTAGTATTTGGAGGGCTCTTTTTGAACATGTCCAGAAGAGCAGAGCGATGCGGATCTCCTTTGGGCTGGACAGAAGACCCAACCAATTCTGAGACATTTGTTTGCTCTGCAGGACGACTCGAATGGTCGCCCAGGAGATTAAGCGAGGGAACGGGTGTACTATAATACGGGGAACTTTGAGCACCAGGCGGAGCGGCATGACCAGTACCTGGTGGGTTCATAACGGCTTGGTTTTCCTGCGTAGTCCCAGTATCCCGTTTGAAAGCATTGAGAAGAGCAAGGGATGCTCCGCTAAGTTTCGCGGATCCAGGACTAGCAGACATCTGACTGTTCTGTTGACTAGTCAATGACGCAAGCCCGGTTGCAGAACCAGAAGGAATATTTGGCAGGGTACCCACAAGCTGAATCGCAGCTTGATTCTGGAATGAGCTATTCTGAAGCATCGATTCTTCGGCCTGGTGTCGCGTGGCCTGTGAGTGAGCCGACGGAAGTTGGTACTGGCCTGGTTGCTGATTTCTGGTCGTATCGATATGATGTTGCTGTGAGTGGGGCGGCTGGTTCGGATTCCAGGACACAGTTTCATGGTCTGGAGCATACGGGAAAGAAGGCGGAGGCTGGTGTGACTGAACATGGATGGGATTCAAATTAGTGTGGTGATGGGGATTCCGTGGTTGGGGGGGTTCGGATATCGTAGCATCCAGAGGAGTGTGCGGCAATGGAACGTTCTGGTGAGTCGGCGGTACCGGACGACTAGCATTAGATTGAAGAATCGAGAGGAGAGCTGTGCCTTTATCTTCTTGGGGTGGGGATTGAAGCCCCTGAGTAGGAGGCTGCATTTTCAACAGCCTCTGTAGCTCTTGGGTTGCCCCATCGAGGGTTTCGATAGCAGGCACATGTGATTGCTTCTCAGGGTTACCAGGTGCCCATGTATCGTCTTCGGTTGTGGCGACCTCGTCAACGACTGGGTGATGGGGGAAATGACCATGGGCTCCGCTTGTTGCTCTCTTGTCGTTCAATTTCTTTTGCGAATAAATCCATTTCTTCAGGGGGACAAGGAATGGGGCAACCATATAGAACTTGTTCACAGCTGGTCCATTACCAGTATCATTCTGGTTTTGGGCGCCTTTCTTGCGGAAGGCAGGAAGTTCTGATAGCTTGTACCATTGGATTTTGCTGATTTCCTTGCGAGTCCGCGGTTGGAACTTGGTATCCATGGGAATGTCCCGGAACACGTAAAGCCGTAGCTGCTGCTCCCTCATCGAAATCTCAATATATTTGGGCTTCTTCTCAGTGGGTACGAGACCGGCGGCACGAAGATCAAGACCAGTCTCCTCATAAACCTCGCGGACGGCACAATCTAGATCATCCTCATCTTTGTTGATCTTACCGCGCGGGAAACTCCAGTTCGCTCCTTTTTTCCAGCCCTTGACCAATACCACAGAGTCCATGGCATGGTTAAGCATGATAGCGCCTCTGACTGGGACTCGGGTCTTGTACTGAAGGAACTCCTCGAATGCCTTGGTATGGTTCTCAACGGAGAAGGATGCAAGCAACGGGCAATGTTGAAAGATTCGCAGGCAAAAGGTCCTCAGCGACATTGAAGGCAAAGTCGGGTCGAGTGGCCTGATAAAATCTTCATAGAACCATTGCGCCTCCTCGACTTGAAAGCATATTCGGGCAACGGAAGAGAGATCTTCTTGAGGAAGATTGATGATGAAGCGGACGCAGAGGTCGTCCAGCCCTATAATCGAGAGTTCAAGTTAACATGTGCCGCGTGATAGGCGCAGAGGTCCCAGATGTTGGTGCCCGTCATAACATACAGTCTTCGAGCTGCATCTCGGTCGCTGCCATTGTGCCGCTTTGGCTTATCGCCCATGCCCCGGATGTACACGGCGTACGTAATAACAGGTTGCGTCGATGAATCGACCAAGACCTCCCTCGCTCACGGTTTTTCTAAACAATCCTCTTCAAGTCGTAGGTATGAAGGGATGCTTGTCATGGTCGGAGTTCAAGGGAAGCACGGGAAGGTGGTCGCAGCAGGTTCCAGAGAGCGCGCAGAAGCGGGTCGGTCTGTTCTGGAAAAGCACAAGCGCCACCTTGAAAAGTCGGGACGAATGGATAGCAGAATCCTTCAGATGAAGAGCAATTTTCCCTGAGTTGCGGGTTGCGTGATCGCGGTGTTGGGAGGAACAGGCAAAATGAATCTCGATTGTCGAGCTACTCTGTGGTCAAAGTACCAGAACAGCTTCGTCGGTTGGGCTGGCAATCGTCGATGGAGGCGAACGAGCCGTGGAGCGGAGGGGCTGGAGGGAGGATAGCCGGTGATTGGAGGAGCAGACGCACTGTGTTTAGAGGGTGCAAATGAAGAGGAGACAAGGAGAGTCTCGGACTCAGTTCCATGCACTGCACAGAGTCAGGGTCTACAGTGCGACGTCTTGGCTGGCAACGGTTTTGCCACAACGTGCGAGGTAGCTGTAGCCACAAGCCGGTAGCTACTAGGTACGTACTCCGTGCCCAAGGGTGTGGCGGTGCTTGGGCTGCCGCTGGGAGGGAGCCGTTTGCCTCCTCGGCCACAACGACAAACAGGGAGAGGGGGGCCCCGACAAGGGGGGCCGCATGCAAACGCCGCGCTCGTGGCACAGGCACACCAGGTCGCTGAAACAAGCTTTCGGGCCAACACTGAACGAATAGATTACATCATTGGCGCCTGCATCAGAGGCATCCAACCCCAGGAACCAAGTCCAGAAAGTTCACAAAAAGCTCTCGCCGAACATCTACATAAGGGCGTCCGGGCTCATTTTTGATTTCATCTTTGCACACAATTTTGGCTTCCTCAATCTCAACCTGCCAGTCTCGGGGCACCTTCTGTACGTACGTCTACCATGACCTCGTACATCGCAAAGACGGCTGCCAGGAAATTCCTAGGCAAAAAGTTACAGGACAAGTTCGGTCAAGGAGTAAGTCCATGTTTCCTTTCGAGGACACCATACTGATTATGCCACGCCTGTCATCAACATGCGCGGTCTCGAAGGGAAGGAATTCTACTAATACGGGAATAGGACCCTTACTACGAAAAAGTTCCTGGCACAAAACGCAACGGAGAGCCCACCGGCAAGCAGGTGAAGCAGAAGCGCAAATTGCCTCCTGGTCTCTCGGAGCATGATGCCAAGGTTTTGATGGGAGTAAGGAGAAGAGTTCATCACTTGGACTGGTCGTTGTTCACAATATTCGGAGTTGGTTTTGGATGGAGCACAGTGATTGGCATAATTCCCGGGTGAGTCCTTTCGTCAAGTTCCATCAAAACTATATCAAAACATTTGCTAACATCGAGCAACAGAATTGGAGATGCCATCGACGGACTAATGTCGCTGTCAGTCTTCAGAAAATGCTGCAATGTTGAAGGTGGCCTCCCAGCGTCGGTAAAGTTGCACATGATGGTCAACGTAGCCATTGATTTCATCATTGGGCTGGTTCCCGGGGCAGAGGCAATCTACAGAGGCAATACACGGAACGCTCTCCTTCTCGAAGATTTCCTGAGAGAGAGGGCAGAAAAAAATTTACGCAAGACGGGACACCTGCCCGATCACGCCCGCGCAGAAGGTGGCCGACGTCAGGGCAACGGGAAGCGCCGAGAGGACTCGAGGGTTCAGAGGGATGAGCGCCGATGCCACGACGGCATCATTGCCCCTGGTGAATTCCCGGATGGCCATCGGTCCACAAAGAAACGATCTGGCCGAAGATAAACTCGGGTTGTCTTTTCCATACTGAACGCAGCCTGGGAAAGAAATGACTTAATGACGCATAAGGCTAGAGCTTTGGACTTGATAAACGACTTGACTGATGATTGAAATTGATGGGGGAAAACACAAGGCAGATGATTATCGGGGCTTTTGCATATACCAGGGTTTAGCAAGCAAGTGTGTACTGCGTTTGAATGTCTCTGTTTGATTTTGAGATGGAAGCAGGTAACAAGAAGCCACATGGCCAAATAGGTAGAACGATAATACTATAAGTTTCAGTACCACCTTGTCGGGATCGATTTCTTGTAGTCAGTAGGCACCTCAATTTGTACCACGGTATTGTCGCAAAATTATTGCATCGGAGTGAACGGTCCATTGGACGGCTCAGTAAAACACTCTGCTTACTGTAAAGGATGAAGGCAGCATTTATCAATCCTCCGAGACACACGATGGTACAATTCGCCGTGGCCCATGGTAATTGTCTCCACATTGACAAGATCTGATAACGCTTGCTTGCCGATTACTCCGTACCAGCGACTGATCTCCCCTGGTTCAAAGGGGGCGTGAAGACGGTAGTAGTATGTACATGCTCAGGTACCGAGTATTTTTCTGAGTGCTGGCCAAGGGAATAAAGCTCATGTCTCGGTTTGCGAGTCGCGCAGCGTCAGGCCATCTCCGAGACGCCATCCCGAGCTCCGCCAAAGTCGACGACAATGCAGGGGTTTCGTCATACAGACACGAGAAGTGGGTGTTTGTTTGCTGATTGATAAACTGCAAATCATGACGACGGCTTCGAGCCAGTAGTGGCAATACTTGGACGCGACGAGCCTCTGCACATGTCGTTCCCTGCAAGCCCATTTAAATCGGTGGCTGGTATGCACAAGCCAGGGCAACCAAGCGCTCGAGCGTGCGACAGGAGGACCCTCAGTGCGGGCGCAGGTACCAAGCTTGTACCCGCGAAGGCTCCACCTCGATACTTGGGTACGTACTCCCGACCTCTCGGCCGCGTTTCCCCCACTTAAAACACGTTTCGACGCGTCTGGCACACGTGACTACGCACCTCTACGTTCGGCTCAAGTTTAGTACAAAAAGCTCTGGCGCCACCATTAACTCATTAACGCCATCTCTCATCATCGCGTCCTCAAACCATCTTCTCAGGCCGAGTTCAAGCCCAATTTCTTCGTTGTGATTGCTCCTTACCTATAATTGTCATACATCCCCTCACATAACATCATACACATCACAATGACTACCCAGATCACCCCCTCCAAGCAGGTAAGTCGCAGTCATGGCTGGCACTGACGCGCCCGTCGCCATCTACCCTTCATTGTTAAGAAGCTAACCGCGTTTCCAGGCTGCTTCAGCCATTGATTCGCTGAAGATGGAGTCGCCGGTTAAGAAATTGGATTTTGGTGTCGCCAACAAAGAGAACAAGCCTCTCGATGAGGCTGCCGTCGCTGCCCTTGCTGAGCAGGTCGACGCTGAGCACGAGTCCAAGATTGAGAGCAAGAAAGACGACAAATCAGCTGCAGTCGCCCCTGGCATCAAAGCAGAAGAAGTCGATGAGCCTCTTCTCCAAGAGAATCCTCAGCGCTTCGTTTTGTTCCCTATCAAGTATCACGAGGTACGTGACGCGTCAAGACGCGTAAAGTGGTGTTTGCATGGCTGGGTCTAACATGAGTGGATACAATTAGATCTGGCAAATGTACAAGAAAGCTGAAGCTTCTTTCTGGACGGCCGAGGAGATTGATCTCTCCAAAGATCTGCACGACTGGAACAACCGTCTGAATGACGACGAAAAATATTTCATTTCTCATATCCTGGCTTTCTTCGCTGCCTCAGATGGTATCGTCAACGAGAATCTGGTCGAGCGCTTCAGCGGCGAGGTTCAGATCCCCGAGGCCCGCTGCTTCTACGGCTTCCAAATTATGATGGAGAACATCCACTCAGAAACCTACTCATTGCTGATCGATACCTACATCAAAGAGAATGCCCAACGCACCTACTTATTCAATGCTATTGATACCAGTATGTTCACGCGCGCTACTATTTCCGACCCGCTGCTAATTCAAGCTAGTTCCTTGTATCCGCAAGAAGGCCGACTGGGCCATCCGATGGATCCAGGACAAGGAGTCTACCTTCGCTCAGCGTCTCGTCGCGTTCGCTGCTGTTGAGGGCATCTTCTTCAGTGGTGCATTCGCCTCTATCTTCTGGCTGAAGAAGCGCGGCCTCATGCCAGGTCTGACCTTCTCCAACGAGCTCATCTCTCGTGATGAGGGTCTGCACACTGACTTTGCCTGCCTCCTGCATTCCCACCTCAAGAATCGCGCTAGCAAGCAAGTCATCTACGACATCATTACAGACGCTGTCGCTATTGAGCAAGAATTTTTGACTGAGGCTCTGCCCTGCGCTCTACTTGGCATGAACTCCAATTTGATGAAGCAGTACATTGAATTCGTTGCTGATCGTTTGTTGGTCGCTCTTGGAAACGAGAAGGTGTACAAAACGTCCAATCCCTTCGACTTCATGGAAAACATTTCTCTTGGCGGCAAGACCAACTTCTTTGAAAAGCGAGTTGGTGACTACCAAAAGGCTGGTGTTTTGGCCAGCGCTTCCAAGAAAGAAGACGGTACTGTTTCCGATGAAAATAAAGATGGCGGTGACTTCACCTTTGACGACGATTTCTAAGCTGGTTCACAGACGACAGCCACTTGGAATTTCAAAAAAAAAATGTACCCTTGCGGTTTTTCCTTTGTCATATATATGAATTGTATATTTGCAAAGCCACTTCAGGCTCAGACAACGGAGGCGGGGGGATTACTGAATTGGCTTGGTCCTTTTTGGTATTGTTATTGGTTGTGTTTGGGAAGGTCACTAAGATCCATAATAATGGCCGGCGTTGGGGGTTTTGCGGTTATTTTTTGTACGACCAGGCACGCGGAAAGTGCTGTATTGAATGGATAGATGGGATCATGATGTATTGTAGCACGCTAAACCCATATTTTGCATAATAAACGTGCATTGGAAATGGAGATCTGATCAGTCTGGCAAGATATGTCTTGCGCATTCCCTGAATGTGGGTAGTTGGATCAAACAGGCGTTAATTCGAGCTGTTTTCAGGTCGGTGGCCTTGTCCTCCCACTGGGTCTGGCAATAGTCGTGCTCGTTCTTCTCATTCCTTCCCCAGCCCACAACCCACGGTAATCGGCCTCTTTCTTGACGCCTATTTTCTACCCTTCTTCTTCTTTTTGCCGCCACCTTGTTGTGCCTGTTGGCCCTGCGGTTGTTGCGACGCTGGCGTGGCCGCACCGCTGCCCTTGTTGTCTCCGTCACCGCCGTCAGCACCACCACCACCACCGGAGGCATCTGGCATGGCCTCCTCCGGAACATCGAGAGGCACGGCAGCCATTGACCGGCCCAGTCGCCCTAGAGACGAGTAGACCAGACGCGAGACCTCGGCAGCCTTGGTGGTGCGGTACTTGAGCGTGACGCCACTGACGGGATCATATGTCTTTATAACCAGGCTTCCGCGGGGGGGTTTCGGGGCATCATTGACGGGCGTATCTCCATCGGTGTCATCCGCTTTCCTTTTCCGTGATTTGACGGGCTGTATGGAGTATTTTGTCGTAATGCGAGTCTGTGAACGTCGGGCGTCAGCTAACCCACTCCCTGTCACTCAGTGCCTGTATGCCTCTTTTGGTAGGTCGTGGAAACCGGCTTCGGCGCAAATACAAGCTCGGTGTCGAGCGATGGCACGTACGGTAGAAGGTCTAGCCTCGAGGAGAAGCGTGGATTGCTCAAGCCATTCCTGGCTCGACTTGAAGTATGGCATTCTGGCGGATGTTCGCCAGCGGTGGCACGTGTGTATCCGACGATATCCGTCCTCTAGAGCGGACTGGCTGACCTGCGCCAGTACTTCGTCGATCTTGCAATGACGAGGGTGGTGTTTCGCAGCAGGAAAAGAGCTGAAATAAAAGATGTCGCAGTAGACATATGATGGGTGCGGTTGGCTGTGGTCTGGTGGGATAAAGTCAGGTGGGGCATGGGAGCAGGGACGGGATAGGAGCCGCTTGGTTGGTGGCGTGGAGCTTCTCTCCATGGACGGTGGTGATGGCAATTAAGTTGCGTCCTACCCTAAATGGTAGGAATAATTTATACGGAATAACCTTTACTCTTTTTTCTTCTTTTTTTTTTGTTTTGGCATGCTAAGAAGTCTTCTAGCGTATTGGAGCATTCTTTTCGGGGAGGATCTCGTGAGTATACAAAACCTTCATTACATGGAAGCTCGGTGTGTGTTTAAGCACGCAATATATAAGTGCTGGCGACAGTGAAGCTATCAATTCGAAAAAATACCCCTACCCCCCAGTCCCGCGAGTGCTACGGCACAGACTATTCGAGTATAAAACTTAAAACATGACACAGAATCGAGGAATCGTGCGTATGTCACGTTTTTTGTACGACGACCCGAAGGCAGTCAGCCCCCAGCACCAATTCAAGACGAAGGACTACATCCCTCACCCTCCAATTCATTGGAGTCCGCGGGTCAGATATAGCTTCAAACATTGATGTAGTGAACGCATTGTAGGTTGAAGCAATAGTACTGTTCCACCGTCCCACCTCCAGATTCAAGGGTATATATATTGTCCCCGCCACGATATATGCAGTAAATAGTCATCATATCATCATAAAAACCCAGCCTAACTCCGCACCACAACCATATTCCAGAGTCTAGGTGCTCATGTAGGAGGCATCCGGTAACCAGAACAGTAAATCTTGATCCGCCGTGGCAAAGAAGTTGAACCGGGGGTTAAAGGCAACAACGGCTGTTTCCCTCTTGTCAGGGAGCGTCCAGTTGGGCTCCAATACCTTATGGTCGGGTATCGAGGACAAAGAATCCCACACCAAGATATCCTGTCTTGATCCGCTTATGATGAACCGGCCATCTGGCGCAAAGCAACAGTCCCCGCTGCTGTCGAAATTCGAAGGATCCGTTGCCGCATTGCCGTTTGATAATGAGGCCGTCTCACCTGGAGCCTGTCGCCTGGTTCCGCCCGTAGGCTTGCGCAGGTAGGCCTTGAGCGTCCCCTCAAACGCATCCAGGAGGAAATGCCCATTGCCCTTGGTACCGACAAGCAGCGATTTGCCATCATTGGAGAACTCCAGCTTGGTCCAACCCTTGACAAGGTTCTGCTGGTCCATCTTGCTGCACTGCTCCACTACATCTACGGTCGAAAACGGAGCCTTGTCATAGTTACGAACGTCGTATAATAGCACGGTTCCGCTGCTAGGGCATGCAACGCCAAAGACCATGCCCGAAGGGTCGTACGCTGCAAGATACGGCGATCTGAGAAACAATTGCCCCTGCCAATGTTTGGACTGGGTGTCCCAAAGACGGACGGTGTTGTCTTGAGAGCACGATATGAAATTGTCGCTGCCGGGATGAACCGCGAGATTGGTCACGTTGCCCTCATGCCCTTCGAAGTAGCGTATGAACGAGTTGTCATGGGTCGCAAGGTATCGAATGGCGTCTGAGAAGCAATGTTAGCTGGCAGGACGGCGAGACGCGCTCATGGGAAGCAGGCCACGTTACTGTTCTGCTTCGTGCTGGCATATATGATGCTCGAATTCGTATGCGTAAACTTGGCCAGCTTGACGCCGTACTTTTTACTTAGGAGGCTCTTGTCGTGGCGACCTTCCTTTACATTGTAGATCTGTATCGTCTCGTCGCTTGCGGACGTCATCAACAGCTCGCCCTCATCGTCGTAGTCGATGGATAGGACATGCGGCACTGGGCGACCTTCTTTCAGGTCTTCGCGTCGGAGCAGCTAGGAGCGGACAAACTTGAGTTAGAAATCATGCTCAACATGGCCAAACGCGCGACTCTGGCACGGGCGAGAAGAACAAGGCAGAGCAGAGGAGAGAGCAATACCAAGCCGACACACTCACCTTGGTAGGTCTAAAGCTGGATATGACGTCGCTCAGGTTAGATACAGATGCTGTACCGCCAAACGACCTCTGAATATTTAGAGATCGTCCGTTGATGGACACGCCGCTAGGGCGGTCCAGATCCATGGGGGTTGACGACATGATTCAATGGCTCTTGAGGCTGCGTAAAAACGCGGGATATGAGGCATGCGAAAGCACGGGTGCAACGGCCTGTATGCGACGGGTCACGGCCCTCGCTGGCAGGTTTGGAACGAGGTCGTAAATTTGGGGATTGTGGTCCTGTTACCCCGACCAGTATCCGGATGCCTGCTTTGTACGTTGGGGATAGGATCGCCGGAGCAGGTGGCCGCCGTCAACATCCAGGGGGAGCGTCCTGGCGTTATACAGATTCCGTGCAATTTCCAGGCTGGCCACTCTGTGTAGTCTCTAGTAGCAATGCATTGATAGTGCCTTCATTGATGAGCTTGGTTGCATGTGCGGTCTTGGAGAACTGGAGAATTGGATTGACCACTTGGCGTGGAGCACAAGCCACAGGAGCTGCTGCTCGTGAGGCTTGATGCTGACCTTTTGCAGTCTAGCGTGTGGACCCTGTTTGCGGCTCTCGCTCCAACTCGCACCGGTGTTCTCGCTGCGACGATGCCGGCTTTGGGGTCGGGCGGGAGTTGCAACATCCACGAGGCAAAAGGCAGACGCATAATACGAGAAGGGATCAAGAGTTGGGAACTTGATACAATGGCGCGTAGTGGTTGGAATATAGAGGCCAACGGTAAGGACTAGTAGTACCCGGGGATTCAAACATATTCTGGCTTTTTTAAAAAGATGATCCGAAGCCGAAGTCGCAGTCCTCCTATCCCAGTCTGGTTGGGGCATGGTGCTTAGGTGAGCCAAGGGTCAAGCAGTTGAATTGCTTGCTTACTTATCTTAACCCTCTGGTACCCGAGGAGGCGGGGCACGCTCCCGAATTTGTTCACTTGAAAGAAGTCTAGATGGATTGAATCAACGGGTACTCCTATTGACCTCATAGTCCGCTGTGTCAGCCTCTGCAGTGGAGTCCTGCGCCTAAGCCCTCCGTCCTCCAGGCACGGTAGTCGCTGCATGTGCGGCTAATATCTGGAACCAGCGCACATGTGCAGCGCCAGCGGTGAACATTCCAGTGCCCCCGCCGGTCCAGCGGTGCCACGCATACGTGCTTAGTGAGCCACCCCGGCCCCCTCGGCCCCCAAGGTTCAAATTTCTCGCCAGCATTGAATGGGTTTTTTTTCGGGGCTGCCTAATGGAGCGCTTCTTATTGTCCCAGCGCCATCCTGGAGCGGCCGACGGCCGACGTCGGCACAGAAGATGCGGCAGTCGATTGACCCGTTGCAGCACCCACCATCTGCGTCGCAGATGAACCTGTCATCTTCGCCAGTCACTATGGTCTTTTCCCGTTAACATATTTTTGGCATCCCGAGTTTGAGAAAATACCCCGGCTGCATTGAACAGGCCCAGCTGCTCGCCGGACAGGCTTTCCGACTGCCTCGACGCAATCGAGCCTCGAAGGCCCCCCGTCTAACCTTGCACCACCCTACAAATATCTTGGGCACGCCTGGTCTGGGCGCCCTGGTATTTTGAGGCTCTGGAAACAGCGAGGCCGACGCGGCTTTTGGAGTTGACATACCTGTTTTGCACCGCATCTTTTTATATCGTTCTTTTGTGTACTTTGCCCCGGCTTTTCTTTCCGCTCCTTTGACCGTGGAGAACCGCATACCAAACTGATAGTCCGCGCATTTCTCGGACGCAATGTCGACAACGCTTGGGTATGTGCCTCTACGGCGCAAACGCGCATTTGCCGCCTTTTTTCTATATCTTGGCACTTTGATAGAGTAGCTAACCTTTTGTAACATACAGAGCATTTATCGCTGGCGGCATCGCAGCTTGCGGTGCTGTTACGGCAACCCACCCATTCGAGACCGTCAAGATTCGGTACGTCAATTTTTGTCTCGCTCGCCCGCCATTCCAGCTCCCTCATTCTATGGTGATTTGAGTTGGATTTAATCTCATTAACGGCTCTAACTCTTGTCTTTCTTTTTGTCGCCGTAGGATGCAATTACAAGGCGAACTCCAACAAAAGGGACGCCAGCCACACTTCTACCGAGGCCCAATCCACGGCGTGGGTGTCATCCTGCGAAACGAAGGCTTACGCGGTATTTATCGTGGCCTGGGAACAGCCTACATTTACCAGATTCTCCTCAATGGCTGCCGGTTAGGTTTCTATGATCCCATGCGCAAGGGTTTAGCAACCTTGTTCCTCAAAAACGAAAATGCCCAGAACCTCGGAATCAACATGTTTTGCGGTGCCTTCTCTGGCGTCATTGGCGCAGCTGCCGGCAGTCCGTTCTTCCTCGTCAAGACCCGCCTTCAGAGCTATTCGCCGTTTCTGCCAGTCGGCACTCAACACCAGTATCGCAATGCTTGGGATGGCCTGTCGCAGATCTACCGCGCGGAGGGTGTGGGCGGCCTGTATCGCGGTATTGGTGCGGCAATGATCCGAACCGGCTTCGGCAGCTCCGTCCAGCTGCCGACATACTTTTTCGCCAAGAGGCGGTTAATGCGACATGCTGGTATGGAGGAGGGTCCTGCTTTGCACCTGGCCAGCAGCGCTGCCAGTGGCTTTGTTGTCTGTTGCTTCATGCACCCCCCTGGTAAGTAACTGTCTTTACTAAGGAACGCAAAACGCGGCTCAGAAGAGGAGCACCCATCGCTGACACGTTGTGTCATCTATAGATACCATCATGTCTCGCCTCTACAACCAAAACGGCAATCTCTACAAGGGCGTTTTCGACTGCTTGGGAAAGACGATCCGCACAGAGGGCCTTTTCGCCATCTACAAAGGGTTCCTGCCTCACCTGGCAAGAATTCTGCCTCACACAATCTTGACGCTTTCGCTGGCTGAACAGACTAACAAGTTGGTAAGGAAGTTTGAGGGCCGGATGTTGCCAATGGTTGCCAAGGCATGATTGGCTTTTGACACTCGGCCGTGATCCGTTTGCGCCACATATATACATATATATATACACACATATATATGCTACTGCCCCATACAACTATAAAGTTTGGGGACTCGTTTGATAGTTGGTTATCTGAGAGTGGTGGGTTCTTTACTAGACAAAAATTAGACTGCGGGCATTGGTACTGTACAATTTGGCCGAAGAGATGGGGATGGACCAGGTATTTCAATAAAGGCAGAGGGGGTGCATCTGAGCGGAGTTTTTACAGTCTAGATATTTACATATAGACATTTATTTGAGACACATGCCTATCTGGGTATCTTCTGTCCCTCCTCATTATCGCTTACAATGGCATCAATGAAGAGAGCATGAAATGTCTTTTGTACTTTTTCATTTTACTTTTTTTTCTTTGGTCTTTCTCTTTTCCTCTTTGTTCATTTCATCCATTGATGGATCTCTTGCATCCATAGCATAAACGCATAGTCTGGGAAGCGGCGTCATGCGTATCCGCATCGTCACCAAGTTCACCAGCCCACCGCGAATCGCCTTGCTTGTCCAACGTCATGCCACACATGAGACAAAAGCTTCCGCTCGCGGCTCTGTCCAGCTTCCCCGTGGTCCGCACGACGTTGGCCACAATACCCGACTGAGGACCCTCCACAGAGTCAAAGTAGCGTTCCATGACTTCTGTAATGCTCAAGTCTTTATGTGACACGACATTGCTCGCTGTTGCGTTGTCCTCGGGCATGAGGTCCTTCAGAGAAGGCACGAGATCAAGATATAGCTTGATTTCATTCTTGAACAGCTCCCTCAACGGATAGTACACGGGCATTTGCGCCTGCGACACCTCCTTCGTCCCGGCAGAGCCGGGCCGCGCATCATACGTACAGACGGCAAACGGACCGTCGTTGATCTGCCAAGGAACGGCAAATCCCCGCCCGTTTGCCACCTCTGCAAAAGTAAGCGCCGCGAGAGCCGATGTGCTGTGTCCCAGGAGCAGGGCCGAGTACGACCTCTCCAGGGCCAGATCCAGGAGGATATGGCGTATGAAGAGCCGCAGGATATCCGCCCTTGAAGTCACGGACGGCAGCGAGTCGAAATACTTTTGCAACCGCCCAACGCGGTCCCCCCCGGGCTCGCCCATGTGTGGACATCCCAGCGCCGACCAGTCAAGCGTCTTGACGGCGCAGATTCTGCTCAGATGCACGCACTCGAAGGAGACGTTGGGAAACCGCTGCCGGTACTTGGAGAGCAGCCGTTGCGCGGGACCGTCGTCCTGGTCAGCGGGATGCGACAAGTCCGTGTCGACGTGGACGGCCAATGGCTCAAACGCCGGAGACGACTTCTTGGACAGGTAGAACCTCGCGCAGATGTCTAGGAGCTGCACCATTACGGTGGAGGACGGCCCAAACGACAGACCGCCGAGATATCTTCGAGGCCCTGGTCTGCCCTGGGGCCTGGTGTCCCGGCCGACAGCGCCGAGGCGCCGGCCTGCCTTGTCTTCAACATAGTCTACAAAACAGTCGCTGTAGGACTCATTTTTGTCAATACGCCAATTTGAGCCAATCAAGTCTGTGTGGTGCGTGATCGACTCACCGGCATGCTGGGCCGTTTCTCAAATCATATGGAGCGTCTGGGTTTTTACAACGCTCGCATGGCTTTGGGGTGGCTGATGCGGGAGCCATTTGGCACAATTAATTAATTGCGCGGGCTAATAAAGGGTTCACACGCCTCCGTGTTGATATATGTGTGTGTGTTTGCGCATGTATTATTTTTATTCTTGGCAGATATAGACGGAGAAATACATATGTAGTCTTGGGCATAAGTTCCGGGATCTGATGAGGCTTGCAAAAGTCCGGTGTGTAGTGGCTGAGTGTTTTTTTTTTTTTGGAGCGAGGCTCTGCCGGTGGTCAGGCGGCTGCTGGCAGACTGGAGCTCTCAGAGGCGCCGCCGATACCCACCTGGGCACTTGAGCTGTTGCACAGTCGGCATGTGGCCACGAGCTTGGGCAATGGGAAACACATCATTTCCAAGAGTTGACGAGGGCCCGGGGCCGTTGATTAAACGACACGGACCAGGAATGACATGCTCAGATGATGGAGATGATGGTGATGACTGCGGCACGCGGCAAGAGTACCGACCTAGAGGTACATGTACTTAGGCAGGCACCCGCCAAGCGCCGACCTAGGCTGTACATGTGGAATTCGAACAAGGCAGACAACAATCGCAGACTGCAATTCTTCTTGTCTACTTTACTTAAGTAAGTACCTAGATGCTGCACCGGTTCGTCATGGGTGTCGTAATCGCCCAAAGGGCCCAGCGACCGGCAGTCGCGGGAAGAAAAGGCGGCTTCTTCGACGTCTCAGGCAAACACTCGCAAACGACCCGTTTGACCATGGACGGGTGCAGCGAACATGACGTCAAAAGCGCAAGCCTTGTATGTATGCACTTGATTGAGTGCGTGCTGGAACACCGAGTGCAATTGCTTGCTGACCCCTCACCAATAGCTGGAGTGTCCTTATGTCTGGTTGCTCAAATGTGGCGGACGCCCTGCGACGATACAAATCCAGCCTGTGAGCGTGACCTGATTAATGGCCGAAACCAGCCCCAAAAAGACTCCAAGTGGATGAAACTCGCCTTTTCGCTTTCAATGTTTTGATTGCCTGGGACTCGTGACTGTGACGGCTTTGCTTTGCTCCGTGGCCTGCGACCTGTGACATTTTACATTTTGTTCATCACCCCGCGGCATTCACAAACTCCAAAAGTCAAAGTCGACCCGACTTCATTTGCTGAGGCTGCACCAACACTGAAACAACCCCTGCTCTCCTCCGGGGCCAACCAGATCCGCTCAAGTGCTGGGACCAGGCCTCTTTCAAGTCTGCAAGTCCGTTTTGTTCCCATCGTCTTTCTGCTCTTGTGGTTCATTGATTCATCCATTCTTTCTTTTCTGCAACAAGACTTGCCGCTGCTTCCTGAACAGCATACGAACCGCACGTGCACCCGACACGCACGCGAAAACCACAACGCCACTCACTGTCCATCTCATTGTCCGACCGGCTCTGCGCCTTCCTCCCGTTTCGACTTCACCATTCTATATCCCAAGCACAAACCAGTTTTCTACAACGGCACCTGGTCACTGCAAGCTGTGAGGCTCTTTGTCTTCTTCGGCCGCCATCTCGAGCCTCGGACTATTATGTCTTGACCGCCCAACGTAGTCTTGAGCTGTCTCGAGCACTGCTGCAACTTAATTACCTTGCCCGCCCCGAATGTTTCCAACTACGGCTGTAGCTTGGTGATAGCCAAACTTTGTACTGCGCGCTATTTCATGCTGTTGAGCAAGTGCGAGAGGTGGACGAGGACGAAGCTTTCCCTTGCTAACCCTGTCAATTGGATCGATCGCTAGATTCCACCAGCGGCGCCGCAACATCGAGGCTAGCTCGGGCTAACCAACTCAACCCGCGCCTCTCCTCTGCCATATAACATCGTCTATTTCCGCCTGATTCTACCTTTTGGACTCAAATCCCAAACTCCTGGTGAACATCATCGCAGTACGAATCACAATAGACCGTGTGTCCGACTCGACGGAAGCGTTGTTGCTTCACCACAGAACGAAAATCGCTAAGCGCCGGCTGCTATAGCTTTCTCTACTCAAACACCCATCTCTACCTAGGAAACCACGCCTATACACCGAGTTCTTCGCCTCCCAGTCAGTTGGGACAGTTACTATTCCGGGCGTCTTTAGAACTGTTCACCATGGCTGCTACGCAGGCGATTGATGTTGCTCCGCAAAAGAGTACCGGCTTGGGTTATGTTGGCCAGACAGCGGTTGCCTCCTTATCTCAAAGCCGACCAAACTATAGATCCCTTGCCAACGTCAACCAGAATGGCTGCTTCGAGTCTGATCGGGTAATAAAATGCGGCTATGTTGAAAAGAGGACTAAAACAAAGGTTCGTTGGAGAAATTCCTGACGTCTCTTCGTCATCCTGGCCCTGTTCACTGACGTGTAACTGCAGAACTGGAAGACGGTGTACCTTGTCTTGCGGCCCAACACCATATCGATATACAAGAACAATAGAGAGACAAAACTTCGCCATCAGGTACATCTATCAGATCTTTCGGCCGTTGCCTATCTCAAAGATCCCAAGCACAAGCGCGATCATGTATTTGGGCTCTTCTCCCCTTCCCGCAACTATCACTTTCAAGCGCTGTCACAGCAAGACGCTCAGGAATGGGTCGAAACATTACGGAGAGAAACAAGGATAGAAGAGGAGGAGGAAATGTTCCTCTCAAGCCCGTTGGCGCGGAGTGTGTCACCCACAGGACTAATGTCTGCGAAAACAAGCGGCATGCCAAACGTCTCGGATGGTCGCGACGCAAACAGAATGTTGTCGAGCTCGCCTGAGACGTATGGGCCTCCAGAGCCTGGGTTCGTCATTGACGCTGATAATAGACGAAGGTCATATTTTCTCGACTCCTCAGGCATGTCAGGCAATGAACTACCGTCACACTCTGACCTGTCGGATAACGAGACACAGCGGCCTCAAGGTGCGTCCGTGGACGGTCTGGCAGTAGTGAATCTGTCACCTGTGGGCACAAAGCTAACTGCGCATCCAGCCACCACAAACCGTTCGGGCAGCCAAATCAGTATATCCAACGTCATGGGCAGCAGCCTTGGCGCTCCGGGAGAACAGCATCCTGACAGAGTCATCTGGCAAGGGCGGCTCTGGCAGCTCCGGAGTAGAGGTGTGAGGCCATGGAGGGAAATGTGGGGAGTGCTCCGACCTAGAAACCTCATTCTCTATAAGGACCAGGATGAATATACGGCTCAGTTGATTCTTGAGCTCTCGGCTGTTGTCGATGTTGTGGATACAGATTCCGTCAAGAACAAGGACAATTGCGTACAGATCATTACGGAAGAGAAGAGCTACAGGTTCTGTTTCCATGACGAAGAGACGCTAGTACAATTCATTGGCGCCTTTAAGAGTTTGCTTGCGAAGCGGCGTGGGTT